GTAAAACAGTTTTTGCTGATGGCAAAGGCTGGCAGACTCTTGCAGGATGCATGCCCAAAGCCAGCCCTGGCAGGGCAGTGATGGGAAGGACTAAGCTCACAGCTCACACACAGGACGTCAACCGCACAAAGTAGTCTCTGGTGGAGAAATGGCAATATTTAAACCTTGATATGCATTGGGAAGAGGTGAATGTGAGCTCCTGTGTGTTCTCATATCAGGTATCTATTTCAGAGCTGCAGAAAGCTTAGGGAGTCTGGCATTTTTGTGTCTCAGTGCATTTTGGATCCTCAAATGTAGCATAACTTGGGCTGGAATGTAGTCAGCAAGTACTGGTTTAATTTTCTTGAATCTTCACATTTCTAAGCTAGTATTTTGGAAATAAGCAGTGTTTTGGTGTGTTTGGTGGAAGAAGGGCAGAGTTAAGACACGACAGATGTGAGTTTTGAGGACTGTCTTGGAGGAGACAGAAATTGAGGTGTTCAGTACATCCTCAGTCACCTCAGATTCTACAGGATGCTTAAAATTGAAGATCTGAAAAGCTAGTGCCTCCTTTTTTGCCATGTGTCAGGTAAATAATTAGTAAAGACAAATATAAAAGAAAAAAAATTAAAGTATAACAGAAAGCCATACTGCGATGCAAGATCTTTTAATGAGAGTAAGAAGCACTGTACACAGCAGTTACAGCTTATAGTAGTACAGAATAGGGGTATCCAAAGATTCATACATTCTTTAAACAAAGAGTTACTACATTTCACAGCAGATGCTTTTGGGACTATGGTGGTGTTTGGTGAAGAGCAGAGCTGTCAGCACAACATACGGCAAGACGAGGCATCTGCTCTGGTCTGCATCTCCTGTTGCAAAGCTACACATCAAAATACACAGTATATCCACCAACAAAGGCTATGAAGGAAAAGTTGACCCTAAAAGCAGGTTATTCAAAATAGCTGCAGACACTGAAGAGAGATATTAAGCACTCAGGACCATTCCTGACGGCAGTCGCTGTCACAGGAGCTTAGCAAAGGTAAAATTCATACAGGAGTCGTAAATCACTATTTTGCTTTTCATTTCCTATCTGGTCGTTATATGGCTGGGTTTAGCAGGGGTAGAAGCTCCCATAGCTGTATCTACGGGTGTAGCAAGAAGAGTAGGGGTAGCAATAGCGGGAGCTGTAGGAAGGGTAGCAGTCCCGATAACTGCCCAGACCCCTGTAGCCCCGGTAGCCGCAGGGGCTCCCGCAGTCGTAGGTCTGGTAGCTGTACACGGTCCCATAGTTGCAGGGAGTGTAGCAGGCATCCTCACACTGGTTCTGGTAGTAGTAAGTCATCTTGGTGTGATGGAGGGAGGCAAGTCTGAAACACAGCAGAAGAGAAGAAGATAAGGTCTGCCCCAGAGACCAAGTGGCAGCTTACCGCTTCTAGCAAAACCCATGTAAGCATGGCAGAGAGGGAGAGGAGAGAAGGGCAAACACGGGAGCCAACTGAACATCTCCATTTGAGGCTATACCCTGTCTCCTTCTTGCCCAGATCACTCCTTTCTGTTTATCCCCCTTCTTTTCTCCATAAAAATATTTCATGCTGCTTTTCTTGTTGCCATTGCTTAGAATTGGCAGTGTGGATTCAGATAGTATTTTAGAGAGAATATTGTTAGGATTAGGTTGTCTGTAGCAGTGTCTGATACTTCTCTAAAAACCGTAATTGAGCAGACGCTAGTTCAGGAATGAATTCCGCCAGTTTTTGCTGTCAAGACCAGACATCACAGAAGAAATCCTCCCCTTGTGCAAGTCAGCAGTGCTCTGCTGAAAAAGGCAGCTTGTTTGTTTGAACCCGTGTCTGTGCCTTGATTGCCAGTTCAATATATACTTGCTTTTTGTTCAAAATAACTGAAAAAATGTAATGCATTGTCTGCTTCAAAATAAAGAAGCCTGAAATACTTCAGTATATCATAAAATAAGGTAATTTCTCATAGTGCATGGCTAGATGAGACAATCTTCTAAGCTTATGCAGGCATTTTAATATGCCATTTTTAAGAAGAAAGAATTGTACTTGCATGGCTGTGAAATCACAGCCTTTGCTTTCAAAGTATAACTGCCATCTGTATAGCAATATAGCAAAACAACAGCATCTACACAGCAATAAAGACATTACAGTAGGTCTGACTTACCAAGTTCAGTGAGAATGTAAGTCTGGAGATGCGAGTAGAGAGCCTTGAATTTCTCTCCCTTTTATATATTTATCTGACCAAGCCTACTGTGCTTTAAACTCATATTCATCACAAAACAAATTTACTTATACACGTCATTCCATCAGTTGATGTAATTGTTTTTCTTGGTTTGTGATTATTAGTCAGTTCTTGGCTTCCAAAAGCATGACATTGCATTGCAGTTTTCTTTCATGTTCAGACTTCCTGGGTCAATTGTATTTGTAGAATTAGTATGGGGAAATCTGAGTTATAACAGGAAAGGGAAGGAAGGATATTGAAGGCAGAGTGGATTGACATTCACAATCCCAGTTTTGGACGAATGGACAAATTTCAGTATACAAAGCTTGCAATGGCTCTGGATTGGTTTGAGGAAGAACGAATTTCAAATTTTTTTTGCAGAAATAATAATATGTAGAAAGCATTTCTTGGTTTGTTTGTTTTTATTTCAAAATTGCATTTTAGGTCAGAATATTGGCGTTGTTTGTATTTATGATTTTGTTTGTATTATTTCCAGCTCAAAAGCAGAAGTACAAGAAAGATGTTTGGATTAGAGGACAAGTCTGGTCTGTACCTTGCTGCAATCAAATATGCATGGATGTGTTAACTGCATACTGTGACCTGTCACAGGAAAGTAATTCTGTAGAAAATTCGATTTACTTGCTTGTTATGCTCTATCAATTACTTTTACCAAACATCAACAGCCACCTCCTAAGTCTACCTAAAAGGAAACTGGTGTCCTTTTTTGGTGTAAGAACAGTGGAAATATTTTTTAATAAGGCAAGGAGTCGGTGACAAGACTTTATGGGAACCATAAAGCAGGTAGCAATCAATAATAAATCTAAAGTCTTTTAAGCAGAAATAATGATATTTGAAATTTCCACGCTTTGAACCATATATGAAATAAACTTACAAACTCAGTCTTCTGGAGAGCCAGCCCAAGTGACACAAATTGGATCCAAAAATATCTGCTTAGTGATTGTTTACACTTAGATCAGAAAATGATTCACTCAGGGGTTCATTACAAGGAATAAGATAAAACAAACAGGAACATATCTCTGTAATAACTGTAGTTTTCCTGAGAAGTCCCCCAAATGCTAAGTATGGTTTAACGTGACGACTTCTTAATAGAAGTGTTGGAAAGTTGATGTGTTTAACTTAATGTTGTTAATGACGGTGAATAATGCTGAGCCCTGTGACCTGGTAAGCAGCAACATCCCGGTCTTCCCTGGTGACCTTCACCTCAAAACACTGCTGTTTACTTGCATCTAAAGGAAGGATAATAACAGGCATGACAGATGTTCTGGGCCTTTCTCTAAATTTTGAATATCAAAGCCTTCATTAATACTTATTAAAGATTTGCATGTACAAAGAGATTTATTATTTAAATATTAATACTATGTTAGTGGAAAACACCCCAGTGTTATGTAACACAGTTTCTAAAAACGTATGTCAGGTTATCCTGTTTCTATGCTTTATTAAGGTTGTAACTTATAGCTTCAGTATTGGGTCTCTGAATGTATTTTCTCTAAAAATACATCATATACATACCATTTTAATGCTTATAGGCCAATTTTCTATCTGAATCAATCAGCACAACAATATCCTGTTGCATGACAGCACCAAATCAAAGAAATGGTCTTTCCCCCTTTGCTAGTCACAGGAAATGTTTGAAAGGATTCATAAGAATGTACTGTTTCATGTGTCATTAAAGTTATGAAACACATGAAAAGGAGACGCTACCCCTTCCACAAGTATTTCTGAAAAAAAATGTGCAACAAAGTACATGGGCCAACATGCATGGTGAGGCTGGTCTTCCAAAAATGACATATTTGGTAATTTGTACATCTTTGCATATTCTGTCAACTTGTTGCTGTACTGAAGAAGTGAATTCAGCATGATGATACCATGGCTTAATTGTCCTATACAGTTTTGAGATGAAAGAAACGTGGAGGGTGTAGCCTGCATGTCACAGTGCTGGACCAATAATCAGAAACCCTGGGGAGAACCGGTATATCAATGAGAAGGAGTCATGAGGGAGGCAAAATGTGTCTGGTAATTGGAGCTGACCCGGAGTGCAGACATGTCTTTCACGCGCTGGGTGGGACCGGGTGCTCTATAAAAACCCGCGCTGCTGAGAATAATGCATTCGCTTCTCCTGCCTTATCCTCCTTGCAGAAGTGGGTAAGTTGGAAGAGATTTAGAAAACCTAGTGAATAATGAAGACATGTATTTGGTACTATTTCTCCCCTCTTCCCCCCCCGCTCCTGGTTACTAATCTACAAGTACTGTAGATTAATGTATTGGGAATCAAGGTTGTGATTTCATGAGAATTATTTATATGTAAGGTATACTTTCCTCCCTGGATTTTCATTGATATTTGAGTGTTCAAAACTGGGTCAGTCCTGCACATATCCCTCTTCTCCTTTAAAGTCTTTATCTCAGTATGGCTATGAAGGATTTTCCAGTTTATTTCCTGTTGGCTCCATTTTGACACAGGTGTCATGGTTCACAATCCCATCTCCCATCAAGATCCATGGGTGCAGCCAGTGCTGCTGTGCAGGAAAGCTCAGAAAGGCTGGTCAGGATGGAGGATTAGGGGGAAGACACAGCACTAAAAATCAGGATAGAACAATAGATGAGCACAGAGGGTGTCAGGCAGTGTGCCTGGGTTTGCTGGCTCTCTCTTCCCTCCCTGCTTGCTTGCAACATTTATTTGAGATTTACTTGCTGTTGGGAGCATTGCCTTATAAGCTTTTTCTTCCCTGCTGTGTTGCAGGCTTGCCTCCCTCCATCGCACCAAGATGACTTACTACTACCAGAACCAGTGTGAGGATGCCTGCTACACTCCCTGCAACTACAGGACCGTGTACAGCTACCGGACCTACGACTGCGGAAGCCCTTGTGGCTACCAGGGCTACGGGAGTCTGGGCAGTTATCGGGACTGCTACCCTTCCTACAGCTCCCGCTATTGCTACCCCTACTCTTCTTGCTACACCCGTAGATACAGTTATGGGAGCTTCTACCCCTGCTACCCCTGCTAAACTCAGAAGATTTAATGGGAAATGAGGACTGAGAATTAATTACCAAATTCATGGCTGCCGTTAGGGGGAGGGTGTGCAAAAGCTCTGAGTCCAGGACTGTGACTGAAAGCCATAGTATTTTGGAGACCTCAGTGTTTCTGTAAAACTTCTTCAATGTTCTTCCAAAATGTTTTGTTTTCCTTTTTCCCTACTGACTTCTTACCCCTACATGGGTTTGGTGGTGTAAAGGAAGCTGGGCTTTACATGGGTTAACATGGGAAAACAACTTCTTAACTCATTTATAGCTCTTTCCCAGCTAACATTAATGAAATCTAGAGTGTACCTGTACTAGCCTTCCTATGGATATGTTTCTGACTTAACTGCTTTTGAAGCTATACCAAAGAAACAGTAAGTCATCCAATCAGATTTATTTCACTGGACTTAAAGCAAGTGGAAAAGTTTGAAAATGGATATTGATAGTCAAATGCTACAGCTGTAGCAGCAAAAATGGTACCAATGGAACTGGGAGATCTTCTGCAGATATAAATTAATCTCTGTACACATTCTTTTTGCTTCTCCTTTCTGTAATATTTTAGATTATGATTGTGAGCTTTACTCTTATTAAAAATGTTATAGCATCATTACATGTCCCTGTTGATCTTTTTCTGACTTGGATGTACACAAATTTTTTCCCCCTGCTTGATATGTTTTACGGAGACATACTGCACCCTGTAGCTTTTATGAATGTCAGCTGAACCTGAGCACACATTTTGCAAACTAATAACCCAGTAGTACCTCAGAAAATGAAGTCACCCATTCCAGAATTTCCTAGGAAGGATTTGGAAACATTCTTTTAAATTTGCCTTAGCATCACAGTGCATGTGCAGACATTGGACATAACAGCACCACATCTTAGTGATTTGTAAAAGCACAGACTGTGTGCAGGAAAACCCAGTTTAACTGGGGAATAAGCCACGAAGTTGGGAGAAAATCCCTCTTTCTCAAGTGCTTTTGTGCTGGCAGTGTCTGGGACGCTTTCTGGATTTAGAGACTTGATCTGTTACAGAGCAGAAAATTGCACGCTTTCTGTTCACCTTATTAAGTGCTGGTAAGGGCAAGTGCTTGCAAGTTTTACTGCACGGCTCCATTTGAATGACAATGAAATGGCATGAATTTCCCAGGCTGCACAATCACACAGTTGTTATTAAGGTAGAGATCCCTTAATGCAAGTCTGAAGTGACTCTGTTATTCATGACTGACGTACCTAACTGGCAGCGGTAGTAACCTCTTAATAGTATGATGCTGTAACACAGTCTAGGCAAAAAACAGTGAAGTGCTTTAAAAGCCCTATTAAACCCTAGAGTCCTTACTGTGAATGTAATTGCTGTCCTTTCAACACACACAGAGGCACTTTGAGGGCAGTCTCACAAGAGGAACAGAGCTCAGTTGTGCTACAATACAAAATATGAGTAGAAAATCCATTGAAAACCTTTGCAAGTAAAACTGTGGGTTACACTTCCAGCAACTTTTGGGATGGAGCTTTCTCATGGCTCCTGAAGAGCTTTGTTCCTAGGAAAGCACTCACTGACTTTGGTGCCTGATGTGTTCCCTGCAGAAGCACAGTGCAAATTTCTGTTCAACATGTATCTTGAGATGAAGATCTATAAATTTAGCTGGAACTAGTCATAATTTCAATTTTTCATTAGCTAAATCTATTAAAATCTGGAAAGTTATGAATAAGTTACTAAGTAAAAACTGGAAAGTATTAAGTGTCTCAGTGCACAAGAGACAATGTTAGCTTAAAATAATCGTTAATATCTCAGTAGTTCTACAGACTGTTTATGGACTTGGCTGCTTTAACAGGGGACATAGTCAAAAGAAAGAAATTAATGGAATGCCATACACTTATGTGTTTCTTCCACTCCACGAAATCTAAGTTAAGACTAGGAAGAAGTCCAAATTTCTGGGATGAGAAGGCAAAGTAACTAATTGTAGGGCCTATCATGGTTGTTTGTACAGAGCCACATTTGAATGAAAAATTTGAAGGTAATAAAATCACATTCTGACTAAAGCATATGTTGAAATGTCTCAACATATTCTTTTGAAGTAACTATTATTCAATAATGAAGCACCTGACAAGAGCAGTAAGCTTTTAATAGAGTAATAACACACTATAAATGCATAAAATAGTTATGAGTGGCTGAGAAGTGCTTTGAACTTCTCAGACTATCTAGCATGGAAAAAAGGGAAGACATTATATATTTCTGATTGGGAAAAGGACCACAAAGTAATGAATAAATTCACTGATATTTTTTCCTTCAAAAGCTGTCCCTTACTATGGGACTAACAGCTTGTTTGTATCTTGTGTGCTACAACAAAGGTTTCCATCACAAGCTGTTGAACCTCTCACAAACCCTGTTTGCTAATCCGTATGCTATCCGATATATAACCCTGTAGTTTGAGCTTCATTATCAACATATCTGTGGCCAATGAAGAAAATCAGAAGAGCAAACTCATACAAACCAACGAAAAGCCAAGTTACTGATGCAATGTGGATTCTTTAATTGGGATAGAAAACACAATAGGCAGTGACAGCAGGAAACAAAACAACACAAAACCAATGAATTGGAAATAGGAAAATCATAAGGCTGCAGCAAGGCACAACCCAGGGCTCCAGTCCAAAGACACCCTCCCTTCCTATTGCGAGATGGGAATCTCAGAGCCAGGCAGAGCAGGAGAGACTCTTGTCCAAGGATGAGTACAAATTCTTTGTATCGCAGGTAAAGGGGAGCTTTAGGAGGCAGTGCTGGAAACCCTAAAGCCGCCAGCTGAAGATCTGCAAGGTTACTCGGTGCAAATAAGCAAAGACCATAAAGTTCAAGAGGCTGCTTTGCCACAGCCTAAATAGGGGCTGAAAGGTTTGTTCTGCATGTGGTGGTAGAAGAGAAGAGGGGCTACTTGTGGAGACAGAGGACAGATGCAGCACTGAACTCCATGGATACTTGGGGGTCTAGCAGGGCTCACAGTTGCCGTTGAGGTACCTGTGGCCTCAGTCCCAGCTGCCATATCTGCAACGCCCATAGCCTCCGTAGCCCCCATAGCCACCGTAGCCTCCATAGCCCCAAGAGCCTCCATAGCCCCCAAGGCCTCCAAAACCGCCACGGCCTCCAAAAGTGCCACCAAAGCCCCCTCCAACTCCGGGGGCTCCCGCCGAGCCAACAACGCTGTACTGCGGGAAGGAGCTGAGGATGGGCCCGGGGAAGGTGACCACCGAGGGCGGGGGCTGGATCACCACCGTGGAGTCGGGGCACTGCCGCACGCAGGGCTCGTTGCAGGTGTCAGCCAGCGGGGCCGGGGCGGCCACCCCGCAGGAAGGGGCGCACAGGCTGGAGCAGGACATCCTTGGGTTCGGGAGGTAAAGCTGCAAGACAAGGCAGAGCTCTGGCTCAGTGCAAGGCCTGATCCGAAGTCCCTCCGGCCTCTCTCACACGTGGAACCTGTGTCCCAGGGCGTGCTCGGGTTTATCTCGGCAGTCAGAGCAAAAACACGTTCCAGAGTTGAAATGCTGCTTTAGACCCCTTGCTGCCCTCATGCTCCCTGGTTCTTACTCGGCCACGGGAGGGAGGCAAAACTCCCTCATCCAAAGCAGATGGAAAATCACCGAGCTCCCAAAGGACTTGAGGGCACTGGCATACTCGGGGCATCGTACCTATG